CTCCAATCCCACTCTAGTCTATTCTTAACTCATGACTCGAATTCGTCTCTGTCCCTCCTTGACCCTCTATCCCTCTCAGTCTGTACATGACATTCATCTGTCTTGTGTCTCCATGTGACTCCTGTTCTGAACTATACGTTACTCTCTTCCCTCTCTTGTCTATATATGACTCCAGACTGTCTCCAAACTATACATGATTCCAGTCCAATCCTACTCTACAGGTGACTTCCACCCTCTCCTAACTCCATGTTACTCCTTCCAAATTTGATGTATATGTGATTCAGATTCCTCTTGTAGAAATGTAACTCCTGGCTCTCTCTGGTTTACGCATGAATCCTGACTCTCCTTTATTCCACATGTGTCTCCTCTCCCAATCTGATTTATATTTGACTCTCATTCCTCCCCGCTGTACAGGTGTCTCCTGTCCCTCTCTTGACTTCATGTGATACCTGTCTGACTCTGCCCTATAGGTTAATACATGATTCCTTTCCAACTCGAATCTATTTGACTCTCAACCCTCTCTTGAGTTCACTTATAATTCCTGCCCCTCTCTCGTCTAAAAGTGACTCCTGCCCCACTCTGGTCTGCATTTCACTCCCATTCCTTGCTCACCTATATGCAATGTCCTTCCATCTCTGGTCTACATGTGTCTCCTGTCTTTCCCTTCTCTACACATGACCCCTAACCTCCTTAGTCTACATGTGACTCCGGACCTTCTCGCTTCTACACGTAACTCCTGTCCTTCCCTGCTCAACGTGAGACTCCTGTCCCACTATGGTCTTCATTTGATCCCATTCCTTCCTGCTGTATAGGTGACTCCCATCCTTCTCTGACTTCATGTGATACCTGTCCAAATCTGAATTATATTTGACTCTTGATCCTCCCTATTCTACATATGACTCCTGTCTCTCCCTGGTCTACATGTAAGTCCCGACATTCTCTGCTCTACATGTGGCTCTTGGCTCTGGCCCACACTTGACTCCAATCACACTCTTGTCTATTCTTGACTTGTGACTCCTGTTCCTCTCTGTCATTCCCTGACCCTAAACCCTTAGATCTATATGTGATATTTGTCCCTTTTGTGTCTCCACGTGACTCCTGTCTAATCTGACCTATATGTGACTCTCTCCCCTCTCTTGTCTATATGTGACTCCTGTCCAACTCTGGTCCACAGGTAACTGCTGTCCCTGTCTGCTGTCCATGTGACTCTCGTCCCTGTCTGCTATCCATGTGACTCCCATCCCTCTCTGCTGTCTATGTGACTCCCATCCCTCTCTGGTCTCCATGTGACTCCTGTCCCTGTCTGCTGTCCATGTGACTCCCATCCCTCTCTGCTGTCCATGTGACTCCCATCCCTCCCTGGTCTCCATGTGGCTCCTGTCCCGCTCCGATCTACATGAGATTTTCTGCAGTGGAGGGTCTACTCTCTGTGTGGAGTTGACATTTGGAACTGACTCTAGGCCACAGCGCTATCAGTTCCTGTTCAATGCTCCTTTGTGGGTTTTAGACTCTGTCGCTACACCCACAAATATATTTCTGACTGAAAGTAAACCCATAGTCAAACAGAAAAACAAAGTTGAATACTGAGAAAACAGGAACTGAAATGTAAGCTAGGGTCCGACCATCAAACCGCAAATGCCGTTGTCAGAATGCATTGTGTCGTTGAGGTCAATTTCTTCTCTGTCCTCTGTTTTGGGGTTTGCTGCTTTCATAACCCTTAAGGGTTTTCACCTGAATATTCCTCACTCTGGGCTATCCATTTTATTGGTCCCTCGAGTGAACACATTAACTCCTGGTTTTATCTTCTGTGCCCCAGGCAAGGGATAAATAAATCAATTTTGTGAAAATCAATAGGTCATGTCAACCTACTTCAGGACTGAGGTAGCAACCTTTTCTCAGAAATCCCGATTGTGCAAGCCCTCAAAGAATGCTGTGGTCACTTCAAAAGTTCATTTTTGAAACACAGTCTTCAGATACTTTTAAGGCAGAGCTAGATCAACATTTGATAAACAGCACAGTGAAAGATTATCGTAGTTATGCAGGAATGTGGAGAAATCATAACAACTCAATGGACTGAACAAAGAACAGTACGCATGATACCTTTTTAAAACTAAAACCCTTTGGCTATGCACAGTCTTTATCCCTGTACTCCCTGTCTGTTCACATGTCTATGTAATTGCCTCCTAAATGTTGCTATTGTATCTGCTTCTATCAGCTCCCCTGGCAGCATGTTCCCTACCACTGCCTTCTGGGGATAGACTGGCCACTAATATCCACTATAAACCCACTGACTCCCAGAGCTGATTTTCTGAAGAAGAGTCTAGGCCTGAAACGTCAACCTCCCTGCTCCTCTGATGCTGCTTGGCCTGCTGTGTTCATCCAGCTCTACACCTTGTTATCTCAGACTCCCAGAGCTACCTGGACTATACATCCTCACACCCTGCTTCCTGTAAAGACTCCATGCCATTCTCTCAGTTTCTCTGTCTCCGTCACATATGTTCAGTTGGTGCTAACTTTGTCAAGGGAGCCTCTGAAATGTCCACCTTCTTCCTCAACTGAGGATTCCCCAGCTCCATGGTCGACAGGACCCTAAACGCGGGTCTAACCCATCTCCCGCACTTCCGCCCTCATCCCTTCTCTTCCCACCCGCAACAGCGATAGGGTTCCCCTTGTCCTTACCTATCATCCCACCAGCATCCACATCCAGAAGATCATCAGACGCCATTTCTGCCACCTCCAGCGAGATGCCATCACCAGACACATATTACCCTCCCCTCCCTTGTCTGCCTTCCGCAGGGACTGTTCCCTCCAGGACACACTGGTCCATACTTCCTTCACCCCCAACACCTCCCCACAGCCCCACGGCGCCTTCCCCTGTAACTGGCGAAGGTGCAATACCTGCCCATTTACCTCCTCCCTCCCCAGTATCCAAGGGCCCAAACATACCTTCCAGGTGAAGCAACACTTCACCTGCCCTTCCCAGAACCTAGTCTACTGCATTCGCTGCTCACAATGTGGTCTCCTCTACATTGGGGAAATGAAGCGTAGACTAGGTGACCGCTTCACAGAACATCTACATTCTGCTCGCAAAAAAGACCCTGAGCTTCCAGTTGCCTGCCACTTTAATACACCACCCTTCCCTGGCCAATATCTCTGTCTCTGACTTGCTGTAGTGTTCCAGCAAAGCTCAGCGCAAGCTGGAAGAACAACACCTCATTTTCCACTTGGGGACCCTGCAGCCCTCTGGATTCAATATCGAGTTCAATAATTTTAGGGTCTAAACTCTCCCATGTCCCAGCCCCCTACCCCACACACCAGGCCTTGTTACCACATAGCCTGCCATTATACACCCCCTGTTGTTAGTCACTAACAGCCCCCATTAACAGCTATTCACCCTGCCAGCCAGATCATTATCAACTCCTTTGTCTATCTGGCTGCACCTCCCACTGTTTGGGCTCTATCCTTTATTGTATTGTTTACTCATTACCCCATCCTCCCCCCTATTTTCTGCACATAAACCGACATTATCCTAGCCACCATCAGTTCTGAGAAAGGGACACTGGACCCAAAATATTAACTCTTATTTTTCTTCACAGAAGCTGCCAGGCCTGCTGAGCTTTTCCAGCAATTTCTGTTTTTGTTCCTGATTTACAGCATCAGCAATTCTTTCAGTTTTTACCTACCATTGCCTGTTGTAAAAAAAATTACCTTGATAGTTCCTTTAAACTTTCCCCTTCTCACCTTAAACCTAGGCCCCCATTATATGACATTTCAACTCTGAGCAAAAGACTCCAAATATCCACCCTATTCATACTTCTCGTATATTTTATATATCTCGATCAGGTTGCCCTTCAGACACTGATACTCAAGTGAAAACAATTCAGGTGTGTCCAAACTCTCCTTACAGCTAATACACTCCAATTCAGGCAATATCCTGGGAAGTCTCCTTTTCAGCATCTCCAAAACTTCCACATCCTGCAGGGCAAGAACTGCACATAATTCTCCAAATGAGCCCTGACTGAAGCTTTATACAGCTGCATATGACTGGGTGACTTTTATAGTTAATATCCCAACAGATGAAGGAAAGCATGCTGTACGCCTTCTTTATGACTTTACTTGTGTTGCCATTTTCAGAGAGCTATGGATTTGGATCCCAAAATCCCTCTCTACATTAATGCTCCTAAGGGTTTACTGTATACTCTCCTCCTACATCTGATTTCCCAGAATATTTCACTTCACACTTGTCCAGATTAAATTCCACCTGCCTTTTCTCCATCCAACTTTCCAACTGATCTATATCCCGCTGTATCCTTCGATAATCTTCCTCACTGCCTACAACTCCACCGATTTTCATGTCATCTTTAAATTTACTAATAAGGTCACCTAGATTTACGTCCAAGTCATTTATATCACAAGCAACAGTGATCCCAGCACTGATCCTTGTGGAACACCACTGATCGCAGACTTCTGGTCAGAAAAATACCACTCCACAGCTACCCTCTGTCTTCTATGACGAAGCCAATTTTGTACAATCTTACCAATTCAGCTTGGATCACATGTGACTTTATCTTCTGGACCAGCCTACCATGAGGGACAGAATGAAATGCTTTAGTAAAGTCCATGTAGACAACATTCACATATCTATGCTTATCAATCACCATCCTCAAGAAATTCAATCCAGTTTTTGAGGCAAGACTTCCCCTGAACAAAGCCACGCTGCCCATCTCTAATCAGTCCATTCTTCCCCAAATGCAAGTGAATGGTGTTCCTAAGAATCTTCTCCAATAATTTCCCTGCCACTGATGTAAGGCTCACTAGCATATAGTTTCCTGGATTATCCCTGTAGCCCTTCTTGAACAATGTTGGCAATAATCCAGTCATCTGGGACCTCGCCTGTGGTGAGAGGTCATAAAGATCTCTGTCAGGGCCTCAGCAATTTCCTCCCCTCCCTACCTCAGTATCCCCCGATAGATGCCATCAAGATCTGGGGACTTTTCTACCTTAATGTTTTGCAAGACAGCCAACATCTCCTCCTTCTTCTTATTATTGACATGCTCTAAAATATCAACATATTCCTCCCTAATCTTGCTATCATTTTCGTCCTTCTCCTTGGTGAATACACATGCAAAGTACTCATTAATGACCTCACACACTTCCTCCGGCTCCATACATAATTTCTCTCATTAATCCTTAAACAGACCTGCGCTTTCCCTAGCTACCCTCTTGCTTCTAATATATGTATAAAATGCTTTGGGATTTTCCTTAATCCTACTTTTCTAGGATATTTTGTGGCTCCATTTAGCTCTACTAATTCCAAATTTACATTCTTCCCTCCTTTTTTTCCACAGGATGAGGTGTCATTGGCTAGGCAATATTTATTGCCCAGAGGGCAGTTAAGAGTCAACCACATTGCTATGGGTCTGGAGTCACATATAGGCCAGGCCAGGTAAGGATGGCAGATTTCCTTCCCTAAAGGACATCAGTGAACCAGATGGATTTTTCATGACAATCAGCAACAGTTTCATATTCATCATTAAACCCTTAATTCCAGACTTTTCTTGAATTCAAATTCTACCATCTGCCGTGGCGGGATTTGAACCCAGGTTCCCAGACCATTTGGGTCCGAGTCTCTGGATTAACAGTTCAGAGATAATAGCACTAGGCCATTGCCTTCCCCTTGCTGCTAATTTCCTTTTTAAGTTCCCCCTTACACATCCTGTACTCCTCTAGGGCTTCTGTTGTTTCTGCCATAAACCTCCCTTTTTTTATCTTTATCCAAAACTGTGTATCCCTCAACCTTCAGGGTTTGCTGGTTTCTGTCGTCACACACTTTATTTCTTTGGGAATATGTTGATTATATACTCTTCCTATTTCCCTCTTGAAAGAATCCCATTGCTCTGACACACATTTACCTTGATGTGGAGGTGCCAGGGTCAGACTGGGGTGGACAAAATCAGAAGTCACATGACACTAGGTTATAGTCCAACAGGTTTATTTGCAATCACAAGCTTTCGGAGTACTGCTACTTCATCAGGTAGAATAGATCAGAATAGAATATCCTTTATTGTCAGGTTGTGATTTCAGATAAACCTGTTGGATTACAACCTGGTGTGGTATGACTTCTGACAGATTTATCTGAAAGTATTTACCCCTTCTCCACTCTGGCCAAATCACATCTGATCTTATTAAAATCATCTTCCCCTAGTTAAGAACTTTGAGTTCAGGCCCACTCTTGTCCTCTTCTGTTGAAGCTAACAGAGTTATGATCACTGCTTGCAAAATAATCCTCCACTGTTAGTTCAACCAATTACCCAGCATCATTGCCTTCCTTATCCTGTAGGACCTTCTGCGTACTTGCTTAAAAAGCTGTTCTGGAATTCTGCTCCCTCTAAAGTTGGAATAAAAACCAGAAGAACTGCAGATGCTGTAAATCAGGAACAAAAACAGAAGTTGCTGGAAAAGCTCATCAAGTTTGGCAGCATCTGTAAAGAGAGAATCAGAGTTAACGTTTCAGGTCCTGAGGAAGTGTCACCGGACCTGTAATGTTAAATCTGATTCTGTCTTCACAGATGCTGCCAGACCTGCTAGCTTTTCCCTCGAAAGTCAAATTTGTAATAAAACATAAACCTCCTGTTGTGTTGAGGTCGTTAGCCAGTTCCATCAACAGAATAAGACATTGAATAGAAAAGAGTGCATGTGATAAACTGAAATCCCAGATTAATAATACGGGATTAGCTGAACCAAAACACACTAGGCATATAATCACGCCAAACAATCATAGAACAGTTAGGAACAAAGTGAACATTTTGAGTCTGGTGTGACCCTTCTTCAGACTTCCTTTTAGTTCTGAAGAACATTTATATTGGACTCAATGTTGGCTCTATTTCTCTCTTCACAGATGTTGCCAGACCTGCTGAGTTTTTCCAACATTCTCATTTCCAGCATCCACAGTAATTTGATTTTATTACAGCATAGTATCACAGAAGTAGGCACACTGTTTCCTGAAGCTATGGCTAGGCTGGTCTCACCCTCGTCCTGAAAGAGAAAACCCCATGAGACATGTTTCACAGGGATGAAACTTGATAGTTTCCCATCTTTGACTAGATCTAGCTTCAAGATGAAACATGTGAAGGTGGAAATTGAAACAAGAAATTGCTCACAGCTAAGTTTGCGCCCACCTGCAGGTACAGGAAAGCTGCCGCTTCTTATAAAAACTGAAAGAACTGCGGATGCTGTGAATTAGGAACAAAAGCAGAAGTTGCTGGAAAAGCTCAGCAGATCTGGCAGCACCCGTGAAGAAAAAATCAGACTTAACGTTTCGGGTCCGGTGACCTTTCTTCAGAAGGGGTTCTGAGGAAGGTCACCGGACCCAAGACATTAACTGTGATTTTTTTTTCTTCACAGATGCTGCCAGATCTGCTGAACTTTTCCAGCAACTTCTGTTTTTGTCCCTGCTACTTCTTATGATGACAATGTCTCAGGAACTGCATTGCTTTGTAAATGTCAAGACATTGTCTACACAGTACAATGCGAACAAAACTCACTGCATGACTGCTACAATTTTGAAGCATGTACTTGGAAAGTGAAGAAAATGTATCGATGGGAGAAAAGGATGACTATCTCTGATAACTGTAAACACTGAGACATTCTCTCAACTGTCTTTTCCGTAATCAAACAGCTATGGACATGCTCTGGGATTTCACACTGCTTGACAGTATTGCCAACATGGCAGATTTGTCATATGAACAAGAAAAAAAAGATTGTGATGACCCCAGCTGATGTTGCTGCAGGACAAGTCAGATCCCAGAATAAAACCTGGCTTAATATATCAAATAGCTTTTTATTATTTTAGTTAGCATGTTGATAGATGGCTGAAACATAGTCACCAATTCTGCAGGGTTTCTTTAACAGCACAACTGTAGAAAAAGAAACGAGTCTATCTAAATACAGAGCAGAGTTTGAAAGATCTTAAATCACGTTTCATCCCATTTCCCAATGTCTGCCATCGCAGAAACTCAAATCCGGAGAAATAACCTCTCTATTGTCAAATCTTTAAATTCAACTTAACTGATTCTGCCCAGTTCTTTCCTAATAACTGTGATGTCTTCTTACATGAATATTCACAGAACTGCAAGGTTAGACTTTCTCACCTCGTAATAACCCACAGAATTTGATTTAACTACAGAGGGTTTGAAATTTTCACAAGCAAACATTTGACACCCAGGGTTGCTGCGCTTTCCCTGATCTGTTCTAATGTCCTTTTTTGATGAGAAACTATTTGTTTCTGTCCCGAGGCAGGTCTCCTAAGAACTGCACTGAAATCTTTCCATCACTAGGTTTTCTACATTAAAATCAATACTTGAATACCCTGAAACAGAGATAAGCTAATGTTTGCCTAACTTGCCACAAATCAGCTCAGTAAAAATTGAATTCTCTTAATATTCCAGGGGTCTCCGCTCTCTGACACAATCTGCATTCAGTCACTGTTCAGGAAGGGCTTGCCTGACCTTTTGTTCTGGTCCTCAGAAAAGTAATTAGCCCCAAATGCAAATATTTTGAAATCCGTAATCCAGAAATAATATTAATGTACATCTGTAAATCAGACAACTTTCGTCACTAAATCAATGAATTTTCCACAGCTAGTGCATACGTTTTGTCAGATATTTTACCGTACAAGCTCAGGTCATTGTAAAGTCTAAACAAATTGAAAAAAGAGATGCTTTTCACATATTTACTCTGTCACTATGTTTTCATTTTTTCAAATGTGGATTGCATTCGTACCGGAATTGAGTTACACAGCAGTTCCTTTGTCTATCTTCGAGCTTCACTTGATGTGTGCATGTACGTTTTACCTACCACACAATTAAACAATGTTGTGCATGAATTTTAATTTCATTTCATTGCCCGTTATGTCAGCAATGATTGGATGATGAATACTTCAGTTTGTCATAATAGGCATGATACAGACTTTGCGCAAACTGTCACATTTGCAGTAGTCAAAAATAAAAGGGTTTCAGTATGGGTTTGTCTGTTCAGGATGGCTCAGGCCAGTCCTTGAGGCATTCTTCAACCTGTATTTATTAGCATGACGTACATGATAATTGACAGGATATTATTTCCCTAAGCATTCTACCAGGTTCTGAACAGGAGTCACTAAAGCCACAGTGACTGAGTGTTAAATAAATATGGTCATCACTCTAAATTCCTAGTCAAGTGGGATTTTACAGAATCCACAATTGGTGTTAAACTCAATGAGAGCAGTACTGTTGCTGAGTTCTGCCTAGTTGCCATCACTATAGGACGCAGGATTTCCCTCCATCTGAACAAATTAATGGATTTACATTGGGGTCAAAGCAGAAGCAGAGTTAAGCATTTAGTTTTGGAACAGTGACTAGAATGGATCATCACTGAGTTGGTTGTGTGGTAAATGGATACACAAACAAGGAGTCAGAGAAGGTCATTCAGCCCTTCCAGCCAGCTCTATCATTCAATAATATCATGGTTGATCTGATTGTAATCTCAAATCCACATTCCTGCCTACCCCGAAAACCTTTCACCTCCTTGTTTAGCAAGAATTTTATCCATCTTGGCCTTAAGATTACTTATGGTCTCCGCTTTCACACCTTTTCAAGGAGAGAGTTCCAAAGACTCATAACCCTTTCCGAGAAAAAAAAAGTCACATCATCTCTGTTTCAAATCGGTGGCCTGTGATTTTAAAAAAGTGACCCCTTATTCAATGTCCTCCCAAATGTGGAAACATTCTCTCCAGATCCCTCCCGTCAAGACCCATTAGGAATTTAAGTGTTTCAATCAGGTGCCACATACGCTTTGAAGATCCAATATTTCTGTCCAATTTATTAGAGCTTTTTGTGGAAGTAACATCTGATATAGATATTGGGCAGCCAATGTATGGCATTCAAATTTCCAAAAGGCATTTGATAAGGTGCCACATGGAAAGTTATTGTGGAAAATAAAAGCTTGAGGTGTAATGGAGTAACAAATTGGTCTGGAGAGAGGATTGGCTGGCTAACAGGAAGTTGAGAGGAGGAAGCAATGAATCTTTTTCAAGCTGAAAGAATGTCATGAGTGGTGTGTCAAAGGAAACGGTGCTGGGGCCTCAAGAGCGGGTAAAGATGAGAAAACAGAGCTTGCAAAAATATGAAATTGA